TCCTATTTTGGCACATTTTAAAAGGTACTGAGAAGGAAACTTGAACTAAGAAGAAACTCACTTTCCCAGAAATTTGTATACTTTGGTAGCTCTTAATAACATGTGATCATTGATGTCACACTGATAAAGGCAAATTAATGACTTTAGTCATTAGGCCTGAATAAAAATCCACAAAGTCCTTGCAGTTGTCACAGTCTTACCTCCAAAAGGCCCCACTTCTAAACAGCATTACATTGGGGTGGGGTGGATTTCAACATATGAATTGGGAGGGGCTGGGAGGGACACAAATATTCAGTCCATAACAATTCCAAGTAATCATAAATTATTGTCTAATTTGCATTCTAAAACTGCAAAGTGCTATGTGAATAATAATAATCATCTAAATTTTTAAACCTACATTTCACCAAATTTTATCCTAAAAACTAAAAGCGAGAAGGGATAAAACAAAAAATACTATAGGCATTATTTTTATTCTCGTAATTAAACCTCAAAAAATTCAAGTACTCAAAGTATTCTAGTTAATATTTAGCTGAAAATTCTGGTCACTCTTTTGAAAAGCTCTTTTTAAATATATTATTACTCTTTCTTTCCTTGGAAAACACATCACTTAGATCTTATTTGACACCAAAGGATATTGATGTTGGGTCAGAATTCTGAAGGTCATTTCTTGTTGCATAGGCTTAGAAGAGCAATCTATATTTTGCCTCAAGCTCATTTGCTAAAAGGTTTCTTGTTTACTTTTTGTTGTTTGGGGGGGATAGTTCATGCTTGATGGAGACATGTTTATTTTAACCAGACACAGACTTCTAATTACAAGTTGTATTCCCAAAGCTTATTTGTTCCTAAGCTGTTTGAAACATGAAATGCTCCTTGCTCTACAAAAAAAAAAAATACTATGAATCTCAAGTTCAAGAAAAAGTAAGATGGAATACATTTGCTATGCCTTATAAGTCATGCAGACATTTTGCAAGGGGATTTATCAAACTCAGAAACAACACTGAATATAAAACGATTTTCATTTACCTTTAATGTTGGTATCTGAGGAAACAGTTAACTGGAGGAAGATGAGAAACTGATAGATAAAAATTTTTGTAAATTTTCTAAATGGGTTAATGGTCCTCAGTTCTTTACTATACAGAACACATGTCTCAACATAGCGCTAGGGACTCTACAGAGTCCTGATTAGGACATGAAGGGGGCAGAGGACAGCAAACCTGGGCATCTGGAGTTAACTGAACAAGTGGAATAGAAGGGAAAAAAGAAGTGTTGAAAGAGTGGCTGTGTATCCATGAGAAAGAGACTAAATAGAGTGGAAATAGCTGATCTAAATGGTGAGAAAGAGGAAGACCAGAATATGACACAAAGCAGAAAAAGCAAAGTAATAGAAAGTAGTGCTGGAGAAAACGGTTCCCTATAAGAGCAGGAAAAACTGAATTTGGGGTGTGACAGCAAAGACATCAAACAGAAGAGGCCTCAATACAAGCCAGGGAGACTCATGGCCACTTGGGGGTTGTTTCTACCTGAGACAATGCCCAGTGATTAGAATCCAATTCTGAATCCAAGTTATCACAGAGGCCCTATCTGGCCACTTCTAAGGTATACTGGTTATAATTCATTCATCACCTCTTCATTCTCCCAATGCCCTAATAAAATATATCCCAATTTTGATCTTATCCCTGAATGTATACCCAAGCGTCATCCATATGAGCACATCTACATGTAGATTCCTGACCTTCTACTGGCCATGCGGGTCTGTGGTTGTGTATTCAGTCTACCCACTTGCCATTTTCTAGGTCCAAGTGTCACTTGGTCTAAGTAAAAATGCAACGCATTAATTCACTTAACCAAAAGCTGTCACTGAGTGACAGGCACCGTCTTAGGCCTGGTAGTAATCAAAACAGTCTTCCTCAGTTCCCGGAAACCTTTGGTGCATTTTATTAGAGCATGTGAAACAAATACCAAAAGGAGCAAACAACAGCCTTCTCTAGCCTGTGAGATGCTCTGGTCATTTTGAAATAAAATATTAAACTATGGCTAGATGTATACTAAACTGTAAAAAACAAAAAGCAATGTCAATTCCAAGTCTGATGAAGAGCAGAGGATTATCTTGAATATTGAATGACTCCATGCTGTATTCCAGAGATCAGACATGTGTTGCAATAGGCAAGGGAGAGAAACTAACAGAATTAATAACTTTGACACCCAAATTTCTGATAAACAAGGACAACTTCTGCCCTTACAAGAAACTCTTTCAATAAAAAGTGACAGTAGTCTTTAATCACTACCACACAAAACCCTTTACACATACATAGGCATATATATTCGTAAGACAGCAAAAGGTCACAAACACAAAACAATGCTGGAGAAGAGCTCACTGGAGAAAAGTGTTTTGCAATGTGATTGAAAATTACCTGTCTTTAAAATGATGCCACTGACTGAACAAGAAGGATATTTCAAATAAATCTTCAAGTCCAACCTCAGTAGAAGATCAAAACCTTGTGTAAAACCAAGGAAAAGTATCTAGTATTTAACATATCTGCTAAAGCATACAGAGAATACTACTTGTATCTGCCCTCTTGGAGTTTCCTGTATCAGGAGCAGTGCCTAGGCATGAGCATACCCAGGGCCCAGGGCCCAAAGCCCTGAGAGAAGAGCCTGTGGGTCTTTCCCTGGGATTAAATGCCACACTGGGAAGAAGAAAGGGTTGGGCAGGATCTCCCCTTCTTCATCCACTCTCACATACCTATACCATTTAAGTTTACCTGAAATACATTCTGAAAAATGCAGTAGTCATGTTCCCACTCATTGTTTCTCTGGAAGCAACTCTGGTGTGTACTCTACTAAATAAAAACTTCGTGGCTGAGGCCTGCCTCAGTGGTTGACCACTAGTAATCCCTAACCCAGATGCAATTAGTCAATCCATTTCTTCATCTTTATGAAAAGTGTGCTAATGTTTAACCTGAAAAAGGTATCCCATAATTGCAGCTCCTTTCTAGAAGACATGTCCCATAGCTCTTTGATGCCAACTGTCAAGTTCCTTTTGGAGACTTCTCCCTTGAGAGTGCATCATCTGGGGAAGGTCTAGGGGAAAGCAACGTACTGAAGTAGGGAAGAGAAAGAATGGGTAAGAGTTTTAACTTTCAGTTGACATATATTATTAATTAAGAGTTTCAAAAGCAAAGCAAATCAGTTTTGGTGTGTATTAATGTACCACAGTATTTTGCCAAAAGATAGAAGGTAAGAATTCTTTCCAACTCAATTTGTGTTACAGCAAAAGATCCCTCCTAACGGGATAAAAAATACTCGTGACTGTCCTACTGTGGAAGTTAGTCCTAAGACACCTGTATGTCAAATACCCAGAGCACATCATCAGAGGATAAAAGAATACTGTTTGATCAGCTGACTGCAGATGTCAAATACTGAAATGCACATTCTAGGGTAGACCTTTGTTGATGTCTGTTGTGAATTCATAAGTAAATGACTAGGAAAGATTCAAAACACTGAATTTAGCAATTGGTAATATAGTAACCTTTCAAAACCACAGACATTTAGAAATGATTTCACATTGGAGTTACATATAGACTCAATGTACAATTACTGAATACTTCACAGTGTGCTACTAAACACCTGAAAATATTGATACTATATAATTTAAGTGATTATGTTGCAAAAGTTAAGGTCTTCCACTGACAAAAACAAAAAAGGCGATTCAAACTAAAACTAAGTTCTCATCAACACCATGTGTTCTAGTGATACATGATGCAAAAATATATCTTGAGATATAAAATTGTTTCTCTGGAAGCAAAAATATATCTTGAGATATAAAATTCTTTCTATGTTTTGGGATACTTACTCTTTGAACCTTAGGCTTATTTTTAAGTACTAAGTGTATGACACCATCTCTTTAGGAACGTTGGTTCCTCAAAATACTCTAACATCTTCATGATACCCAAAATATAGTGAAAACGGAAATGCCTATGAAAGGAATGAAGATTTCAAAAATCAAAAATGATATTGTCTACATGGCATTGTTCAGTCACAATATGTGACAACACATTTTAGAGTGCACTATATGTAGACGTTAGTGCCATAATAATTCAATAGTAATGAACTGCTTCTTGTAGTTTTCAGTTGACTTCCCCACATAGGTTGTTTCCTTTGACACTCACAATAATCCTATCATTGCAATGGAGTTGATGTTCACATTTTAACAAACTGAGGCCTCCGCAATTAATAACAGCCATGAAACCAAGAACCCAGACTTCTCTCAGCCCAGCCACTTCCTACCACAGATTTACAATGAAAAACAACCCTCACATTTCATAAAATTGACTGTGGATCTTTCAACTGTCAAACAAAATAGAGGAATAACGGGTACTTTTGTTAGCCACAAAAACTGCTTAACCTATGGTTCAACAAGTTGACAAAGAATCCAACGTTTCTTCACATTCACGTAACATGAATACTGATGGAATTTCTAAGCAGCTGCAAGGAAATTCCTAAACAGAGCCAAAGGAAAAAGTATTTCTTAAGTTTCTGATAAAATTTAACGAGTTCTATTAAGTCTTTTCAAGTGGAATAGTTAATGCAAGGGAAGTCATTAATACTGCACCCAGTCACCCCAAAAAGGTTAGGAAAAAAAACACCCAAACCTTCTTGGTCCTTCCTAAGACCAGCAAGTTTCAGGCTAGTTGTTCTTCCCTTCTAAAAACCGTGTGCTTTCTGGGGGTTAGAGGTGACATTTCTAAAGATGACAATTTTTAACAGTCTGATTTCATAAACAGGCCCTGTAAATCATCAGTAATACAAGTCAGGGTGAACCAGCCCCTGGGGGCAAGAGAATAACAGTGATGAGCATCCGCAGCCTGCAGGAGAGCGCGCGGGCGAAGGGGCGCGGCGGGCACGCTGGGTCTCCCGCCCGGGTGCTGGCCGCGCCCGCCGCGCAGGAGCTGAGCACCGCCCTCCCCGCCCTCCGGGGCGCCGGGCCGCGGCGGACCTACCAGCGACAGCACTTTATAGGTGTTGGGGTCCTTGGCCGTGCGGACGCGCACCGCCTTTTCCAGCGGCTCCTCCCCCAGATCCATGGGGGCGAGCAAGGACGCGGCCGCCTGCGGGTCCCCCGGCGCCTCGGCAGCGTGGCTGCGGCCCGGGTGGCGGCCGTTCCCCGCCGAATCCGCCCGGGGACCGCGCCCGCCCTCGCCGCCGCCGCTCCCGCCCCCCGCACAGCCTTCCCGCTCCATCGTGGCCCCGGGCGCTCGGGCCCCGCCGCCTGCCGCGCCTTTAATAGGCTCCGCGCCGCCCGGCCCCGCCCCGCGCCGGCCCGCCCCCAGCCGCCAGACCCTTGGCTCCTCGCCTGCCGCCCAGCGCTAGAAGCGAGGGGAAAGCAACCCAACGCCCCGGATTATTTGGCTTCCTGTCTGATTTCGGGTGCTCAGCGTGTCGGTTATTTTGGGTCCTTTGCGTGGGCGAGTCTCTGACTTCCCCCAAAGCCTTCTCCCCGCGCCCCAGGCACCTTCCGACACTTGCAGGAATCGCCCTGCGTGGCCTCGCGGCGCGGGCTGGACTGGAATTGCAGAGTGCGGTCTGCAGAGGGCATGAGATCATGGGGCCCCAAATAGAGCGCGAGGAGAAGGAGGAGGAGGAGAAGGATGCAGCCGCCGAGGCTGGTGCCGCTTCTCCAAGGCCGGAGAGCCTAGAGAGGACAGAGAGGTGTGTTTCCGGGTGGAAATGCAAATTGACTATAAGAGTGAGCGTGGAAAAAGGCGACCTTCTTTTTCTCCTACGTAGAAACAAACGAGAATTCCCTCAACGCCCTGCTGCCCATCACCTTAGCTACTCTGAGAGAGGGCTATCCACCCTTTTAACAAAATTATACACATAGAAGGGATATTTCGTTTTCTCCCTTTTTATGAGGTTTCGGGGGGTGGCGGGGGCGGAGGGTTGGCGCTGCTTTTCTTTTAATATACTTACTAGTTCTTTCAGGCTTTCTGTATTGAAGGCTTCAAAGTGTTAATGTTGCCCTACCCTAAGGTTGACGCTGATGCTTGGTTAGCACTATCAAACGTGAATGCATTCCGAAATGCTCTGAAACTGCATTTTGAACTAGGACACGAAAAGCAAGCTATAATCGTTAGTGGGTTTTGATTCACTTTTGATTCTACAACTTTTACATGTCCCTGCTCGTCAGTTAGAAAAACCGCAAGTGTGCGATAGATTCTTGCCTGTCAAGGAGAAACCAGTGACTTTTAACTGCTTTGCAATACCCCTGACTGACTTCAGTGACCAAGGAAAGTTATACAATCTAAACACAATTCGTTTTCAATCCATTTTGATTACAGAAATACAAGTTTTTTTTTAAATGAGAGTGGATCTATAACAGATATAAAGTAGGTTGTACCCTATAAAATAGTCAACTTAAGATGCTCTTTATACTGATTCATTCATTCATTCATTCATTCATCCAATGATGAGCCTTTCGATCCAATCTTTTGGCCTCCAACTGTGCCTAACATAATCAAAGATGAATAACCTTAGATCTTTTCAAGTGAGTCAGTCTGTCTGAAGTAGGGTGAAGTCAATAACCAAAAAATGAAAACCCAAGCTATATATGCATAACAGTCTCAAATAGGATATTTTGAAAGCTTAGTGGAAAGGGTAACTGACATTTGGAAGAAGTAAACGCCATCCCCCAAAGCATTATTGAGCTTTTTTTTAAATTACCTTTGAGTCAGCTTACAAACCACCCAAAAGAAACAGGTTTTCACTATTTCATAGTCACATATTTTTTACCCCAAACTTTGCTCCAAATTTTCCTTTAACTATTTCCAAAAATCGATTCAGGGACAAAGATAGGCTCCAAAGTTAAATCAATGTCAAAATTTCTAAAAGCAACTCACCACAGACATTCCGACATGGCTTTGAACCTGACAAAACAAATAAAGTAAGTGTATTGTCTGCCTCTCAAGGCAACAAATCACTTTAAAAGGCTTCTCCCAGTGGAAAAGTCAGCGTACAGAGTCACAGATGCACCTAAAGATGTGCAGGAACCATAAATGAGTGAAGCAGCCTTCCTGGAGGGGAACTGTGTGCTCCATTAAAGGGGCAGCATTTACTCAGCAGGATTGTGGGTTCATTGTGGCCAGATGGATTTCTCAAGAGAAACAGGAAATTTAGATGTTTGTGTCAATTCTCCAGGTTGTGAAATTTTGTCTACAACATTAAAAAAAAAAACAGTTTCTTTAAACACTTTGAAGGCCAAGCAAAATGGAACACATCTGCAGGGTGGGCCTAACACACAGGCCACCAGGATGTGGCCTCTGCCTTATGCTCATACCTTGCTGTGCCAATTGGTACTTTTATGGGTAACTATAAAAATCCAATTGAAATTCTAAAATCAGAGGAACAAAAACGGATCAAGTATGCCAGTCATATTGCTTAGCTATAGACATTGAGATGCCCGTAGCGAAGTCTTGCCTCAGTCTTGTTTATAATATAAATGGTCTAGGGGACAGCCTCAATCCAAAGTACAGCAATGTCATAAGACATAAAACTGCAACACAACCTCTCTGGTTAGTGCAAAGGTGAGCAATGACGGTTTTCATCCTTAGTCCTAAACCACTCTACTTTAATGATTGAGGACTCCAATCTAGTACAGTAATAAAGATGACAGTTTAAGATTTTATGTAAGACTCCTTAATTTTTACTCTACAGCAATAAACATCTCTTGGTGCCTGAAACATTAGCTATAGGTAAGAACAAAACACCAAATAAAACCAATTGATTTGTTTAACCTACGACATCTCAAAGTTGAGAAGCAATTCTTTTCAGTGTTTAAAAAATGAAATACGCTGCTATTATTCTAGCAGCTGTTTCAGAGCTTCTCCAGCTTTGTCCAATTCTCCAGTGACACCAAAGACATCCAGCCCAGTCTAAAAAGGAAAAAAAACCCACAAGATTCTTTACTCTTTAGAAGACTTAGAAAACATTTTTTCCACGGCATTAATTTATTTTTAAAATTTTATATGACATCCTGATTTTACTTTGTTTTTTGTAAGCACAGAAATATGCCCTCTGGAAGAAGCTTGGATAATTATGTGTCCTTGTACAGTTGACCCTTGAACAACAGAGAAGCTAAAGGCACCATGCCTCTCCCCACCCCCTTACCCACCTCCCACTCAGCTGAAAATCCACATAAACTTTTGATTCCCCTAAAACTTAACTACTAATAGCCTACTTTGTCAACAGAAGCTTTATTGACAACATAGCCAATTAGCACATATCTTATGTTATAGGTATTACATACTATACTCTTACAATAAAGTAAGCTAGAGAAAAACAATGCTTTTTCAAATTCTCACAAATCTCCAAAAATTTTTCCAATATACTTATTGAAAAAAGTCTGTATATAAGGAGACCTATGCAGCTCAAACCTGTGTTGCTGAAGGGTCAGCTATACAGATAACAAGAACTCTCTGAGGCTCAGTTTCCTCACTGATAATGAGGAATTGGTGTTACAAATAATACCATAAAATTATACTGCTATCTCAGAGAAAGACAAGTGCCAAATGATCTCCCTCATTTGTGGAGTATAACAATGAAGGAACAAAACAGCAGCAGACTCACAGACTCCAAGAAGGGACTAGCAGTTACCAATGGGGTGGGAGAGAGACGGGGATTGAGGGGTATTATGATTAGTACACGTGTTGTGGTGGGAGGGGAGGGAAAGAAAGACTTTGCTTTCAGTAAAATATAAGATGCTATTGAGAGTAACAGGAACTGTGAATAATGGAAAACGCATACCCATCTACAGGAAGCTGCTGTCCAGTCCTTCACATTTTAGTTGTTCACAGTCTCTGCCACTCCCCATTGTCTCTTATATGTCATTTCAAATACAATCTAGGGTTGCCAATAACCTGGATTTAAGCCTACCTGCCACTTTGATGTTTGTTTTCGATATGTCTCATGTCTTTTTTTGTCCCTCTGTTCCTCCTTCATTTCTTTAAATTTGCATTAAGAATTTTTTTTAACACGCCATGTTAATTCCTCTGCTGAATTTTAGCTTTTTTAAAAAGTGATTTTCTTAGTAGTTGCTCTGGAGGTTGTAATATGCAACTTTAATCATCTACTACAGGTGAATACTAAATTCTGGTAAAATATAGCAGTTTTTTCTGTAGTATATCTCCATTTCCTCACTCCTGTCTTCTGCTATTGTTATCATATATATTACTCTGTATGTGTTACAAAGCCAGCGATGCAGTGTTACAATCATTACTTTAAATAACCTTATTTTTTAAAGAAATTAAGAGAGCAGGATATTCACAAACACACACATTTTTTTGTTTGTTTTTAGGGGGTTTTTTTTAGTCACATTTTCTTGTTTCTTTGCATGTATTGTAATTTTGGGTTGAAATTGGGTTTCTCGTAATATAGCAATGCTGTATTCTGGTTATTTTTGAGAATTTTTTTTTCAGTACCCTCCTGGACTTATAGCTATAAGTTTTTCTGCTGTTCCCTACTGGTTTGGCCATTTTCACACCCCATTATCACCCCACCAACTCAAGACCATCCCTCTGCTGGCTAAAGGCTACAAACCCCCACTGTTCTTGTCAAAAACCCTCCTGGTTTTTCCAAGAGTAAATGCGGCTCAACTTGTCTGCCTTTGGTCAGCTTACAGAACCCTGAAGTGGTTGGGAATTCTGTCTGTTTTTCACAGGCATACCTCATTTATTATGCTTCACTTTATTGCACTTTGCCGATGTTGTGTTTTTAACAAATTGAAGGTCTGTGGCAACCCTGCATTAAGTAAGTCTATCGGTGCTGTTTTTTTGGCAGTATTTGCTCTTTTCGGGTCTTTGTTACATTCTGGTACTTCTCACAATATTTTAAACTTTGCCATTATGTTGTATTTGTTACCGTGATCTGTGATCATTGATGTTGCTATTGTAATTGTTTTGGCACTCCACAGACCTTGCTCATATGATAGTGAACTGATACAAGTTGTATTCTGACTGCTCCACTCACTGGCCATTCCCCAACTCTCTCCCTCTCCTTAGATCTCCCTATTCTCAGACACCATGATATTGAAAGTAGGACAACTAATTATCCTATAATGGCCTTTAAATATTCAAGTGAAATTCAGAGTTGCATATCTCCCACTTTAAACTGTAAACTAGAAATGACTTAGCTTCATGAGGAAGAAATGTTGAGAGCTGAGATGGGACAAACACTAGGCCTCTTATACAAAACC